GGCTCATACAAATTTAAAGAGACAGCATCAAAATGAGTTGATCTGAGACACACCTCAGGGGTGAAATAGGGACTTGTGGAGTTACAATGAGGAGGACTTCAGACAAAAGCATTGCAGTTCTACTTTATATAGACCCCCAATTGAATGATTTAAATGTAAAAAAGAAGGATTTAAAAGCAGGATATGTCTCCTTTAATGAAACCCTCTGAAAAAAATCAGTGGATCTACAAATGATTAACTTTAGTCAGCTTGATTTGATGTTCACCACAGTTAACCTTATCAAACACAAAAAAAGGCAACAACTCAGTTAATTTCACAGAAACTGAGCTAAAATTTGATGTCAGATGATGATCCTGTCACATTGCAAAGCAGCTTTAATTACTTTGGTTGGGAGAGTTTAAAACAATTTTATTATTAGGTAATTAGATAATAAACAGTTCAAAACTATGTGGGATGATTTCAGTAAGTCAATAAACTCCTATGTTTTATTACCTGTCATTTTATTCTAGGAAACTTGTTGACCTCAGGTCACGATGGCTGAAACCGAGTGTTTATCCACGTAAGGATCCAGTGAAATGCTTACAAACAAGTTGTTTTTTATAACTTCAGCAGTCAAACACAAAATGAAACAACAGAAAAGAGTTTGTGTGGGAACCATATTTCAACACAAACTGGGGAATTCCCTTCATGCCTGACAAAGGTGTTTTGTTTACACAAAGTATTTGCTGAGTAGTGAATGAATGACATTGAGTTCTAACACTCATGCAAAAACAATTTCACCTTTAAATGTGAATTACCTATAAAATAATTATAGCTGTTGCTTTTGAAGGTCCAACTTTAAACTTCCTGCTCTTGTGGTTTTTGCTTTTGGTGTTCACATCTTTCAGTTTTAAACCAGGAGGGGGGGAGGGTGTTCAGCCACATGCCGTCTCGTGACACTATTAGCCAGCAGTAATGTTTGAATACTACGAAAACAAGAAGTCGCTGCTTTCAATGGAAAGAACTGGTGTCACATTCAGTCTAAAAATGAAGCCCTGGCCTGACAGCTGCCCTGCGTGTCACACTTGTAAGAGAAAACAGTGTTCACGTAAACAGTTGAACTTCCTCCATTTTCTCATCTGTTGCAGTTCCATATGAAGGAACATGAAATCTTTCAGCAAGTGTCTCAATAAAAATATTTACATCAGTTCCCTGTTCCACAAGAGGTGGTGCAATATTTCCCACGGTGATTGGCAAACAATTCATAAACTCTCATTTGATGTGTCACTGTCAGTAACATATTATTCTAGCTTAAACACCATTCCACATTATCACAGATATTTACAAGTTTCAGAACTTAAGGTGATAGCTCAGACCTTTTGAAGTTGGGTTCTGTGGAAAAGTTATGAGCAGTCAGTATTTTACCTGTTGTAGATTGCGCTTTGAACAAGAAATAGTATCATTCTGACTGGATCTGAATGAGTTGCTACTGTTTTAAAACATCAATTCATTAATGCAGTTTTTATAAAGCTGCACACGGCTGTCAGCTTTGCATTGGATGGTTGTTTTAGCAAATTTGATTTCTACATGTCCACACCAAATATGCTACAGCTAGCTGCAGCTGCCATTTGTAGCAAATAATTATTTTTATATTAATAATTGTGTAATGTGAAACTAATGGTTGTGTAAAAGTTTATAAACTATTGTTCAAATGAATAGCTACAACATTTTAAAACACCAGCAATTAATCTTGGTATTTCCTTACTTAGACTAGCCATTAACTCATCAGTTCAGTCATTCAATTTTTTCCATACAGAAAATGATCCAAACTACTACTACTAATTTATTTGTAAAGAACTGTAAAACAACCACAGCTGCAACAAAGTTCTGAACATGTAAAAAAAGAGAAAAAAGACACAAAACATAGAATAAAAACAATTTAAAAATAAAATAGTCAATAAAATAGGAGATATCTACAACAGGTGAGATATTAACGGTTTATGATCTTTGCACAAAACCTCACTTTGAAGATACTACTATTACTTAGAAGATACACTATTGATTTAAGCAGACAAACCAACCAAAGTGTACATTTAATTGTAATTTCTGACACATTTGAAAATTAGAATAACTGAAAAACTGCATATGTCTATCAGATCTTCATTAATTTGATCAAATATAAAGATTTAGGCAAGACCTAAAACTTCAGAATTTAGGTGGGTCTAACTGTCTCTCGATCATAAACAGCAAGAGACATCAAAAATATCAAAAATACTGGATACTGAAAATTGTAGAGCAATTTTAAACCAGCATGAATCGTGTTTTGACAGACATGAAAGAATTCTCAGATGTGTGAAGTAAGATGACCAAAGTACCGCTGCTTCTTCTTCTCTCGGTGAGGACAAGGTTTATTTTAGGATACTGAAGAGCGGGGGTGTGGGGTGTGGGGAGCGAGGAATCTGTCCAGTGCGACAAGGCCCTCTTTTCATGCTGAAACTTGCAACAGGATTCTCTWCTACAACTCATCCAACCTGTCCGGCCGTCTGTCAGGCAAATGCCCCGTTTGTAACGCGAGAGAGCCATTTGTGACAGGCGCATTTCGTCATATTCTCTGACGCAACAGTGTTCCACTCATGACACACGGCATCTAAGTTATTTAGCATCTAATCTTGCAGTGTGCCTTTTTGAGAGACAATGTCCCCCCACCCCCACAATGATCTGCCTTTTGAGTTCCCTATTTTCCCCCAGTGCTGACTTTCTTGGGCTGTCACTCCCTCTAAGCTGACTCACTTCAGTAGTTGCGGACTACTAGTGTTACACTGTGTAATTTGAAGTATTGTTCAGTTGTTTCACACTTCTCTATAAAAATAACAACTAATCATCTTGTGCTTTTAAGGCAGCAGGAAAAGCTCTGTCATACATCATGATTGTCAGTTCAGAATGTGAACATGCAGCAAACAAAGCCAGACAACATATCACTATAAAACCCGTGGGAGACCGCCCTACGTACCTCAGAGTGAACTTGAAGCTCAGGCAATTTCACTTCCTCTGCACCCCTGCTCTCTGGCTCCACAGAGACCTCCATGGCCTCCTCATCCCTCTCTCCCTCACTCTTTGCTTCAGATTTCTCTTCAGTCTTGGGAAATAATGTGTAATCTAGTTGGACATCTGTGCTCAGAGCCTTGTTTTCACTGTTGACTGTCAGCGGCTCTGCTGATGCTGTCTGTGGCTCCACATCCATAGTTTCTAAGCGCTCCTGAGTTTCAGCTACAGTTTGTGTTTCCTCTGTGAGCTGTTTGCACTGGTCTGGATTCATTTTTTCCAAATGCAGCTGAAATGATGGCGGCAAGTCCGATTCGGGAGGCTGCACCRTTGAGTCGGCGTGATTAGAACCTTTGTCTTCATTCTCAAAGTGACCATGAGGGTCCTTCTTGCTCTTCCCAAAGAAGAAGTCTTTCACTGTGTGCAGCATGGAGGAGATGGAAGTCTGAATGTGGTGGTGCTCATGGTCCTTGTGATCCTTCTTATGAGCTTTGCCGTRATGTTTGACTTCTGAGCTCTGTTTGCCAGGAGGTGCCGCATTCTTCATCTCCACTTGCCTTTCTCTAGTCCTCTCTTTTTCTGCAGGTGATTCCTCGTCTTGGTTTTTCTCTTTTTCACGTTCCTTCTGTAATTCTTTTTCCCGCTCTTTCAACGTGCTTTGCTTCTCCTCTGTGTCTTTTTCTCTATCGTCTCCCAGCGGAGCTGTTTCCATCTCTTGAATTTTTCCCTCTTGAGGCGAGCTCTGATTCTCCTCGGTGGCTTGGGACTGGAGAGTCTCGGCCAAAAACTGTGCTAAACTGATTCCTCCGTCATAACAGTTCTCTCCTCCATTCCCCATCAAATGGTTTCTGCTACTGCTGCTGCTGCTGCTGCTACTGCTGCTAACTCCAGCATCTACGCCGTTTGACATCTTAATTCTCTTTTTAGCCAACACTTCTTCTGACACAGCTTCATTTTCCAAAGAACTGTTCGTAGATGTCAGATCACCCGTGTCATTTACTTCCGAGTGAACAGCATTAGAAGCCACTGCACCGCCTGGCTGCTCTACAGCCACGGACTTGTTGACCTCTGCCTTCTTCTCTGTCGGTGGGACGGAGCGTTTCCTCGGAGGAGCTTCTAGACTGCTCCTCCGTTCTCCTTTCTGAATGTTTTCTTTACCTTCCTTTTTCTCCTCCAAGTCTCTTTTCTTCTTCTCCGCCTTCTGTTTCAGCTTGTCAAAGAAGCGCTGATGGATCTTGTACTCGTTCATGGTACCGACCTCCAGAACTCCAGAGCAGGAGACGATACCTTTGCAGTTGCTGGCCGAGGCCTGATAGATCGCTGCATCGTCCAAAGTGCAGCTGCAACAATATTGAAACGTTTTAAAGGTGATCTGACATAGTCACGAAACAAACACAAAGATCTACATTTCTATTCATGTTAATGAATGTAACAAATTATTGTTGCAAAACTTTTGTACGTACTTATAAATATGGAGAGTATGTGTTTTTCCATTGCGATGAATTTCATATTTTGGAAGTCCACAATAGCGATCCATTTCCATATCATCTTTATACCATTTCAGTTCTGGAACAGGGTAACCTACAGGCATAAGTACACTACGTTTAACTCTTTCATTTTGTATGTACATTTTAAGCTCTTTACACCACAAACGTGCTATTTTCCATCTAAGCATCCACCCATTTGAACCTGCTTATCTGTGATGGGGTTGGGAAGCAACAGGTCCAGGACAGAAACCTAGAAATCCCTCTCCCCAGCTTCCCCTGGGTGATCAAGATGTTCCCAAGCCAGGGAGGATATAAGATTGCTTCAGGAAGTTCTGAGTCTGCCCTGCCATTTCTTCCCACTTCATTGTGGAGGAGCAGTGACCCTATTCCAAGACTCCCGCAAATGATGGAGCTCCTCAGCTTATCTCTAAGGCTGAGCCCATCTGAGCTCATTTCAGCCACTTGTGATCCTGATCATGATCATAAATCATTGGAACATACTGTATGTTACAACATAGATCAAGAGCTTCAATCATGAGATTCACCATTCAGCTTAGCTCTTTCTTTACCCCGGTGGATTGGAGCAACAGCCTCAGTACTGCAGACAGTGCCCCAGTCCATCAGGCTGTTGCTCCATCTTCCACTCTATCCTACTATCACTCATGAACAAAACACCCAGATACTTGAATTATCTAATCTTGGTGCCATTTTATTGTACAAATTTTAAATCAATTGTGCAACATACAATCTAAAATGCCTGTATGGACACTTAAGCTCACTTTAAATAGGGTTTRGATTTATTCGTTAATCTTTATTGAACCAGGGAAGGCAGGTCTGAGCCTGAAGGCAGCCCGTCACGCATATTTTTTGGAATGTGGGAGGGGAAAACACACGCAAACACACAGAGAACATGCAAACTCCACACAATGCGTGTGATACTGTTGCAACATGTTTTTGATGTGTCTAGCAGTAAAAGCTCCGGCAGACCCACCCAAATGATCATGCTTGCAAAAAACAAAACAAAAAAAAAAAACTTAATATTAAAACACATGAATCTTTGTTGAGCAAGAACCAACTTGATTAATTTGCTTTCTGCTAAACAAACTCCATTCTTCGTTTACATATTAGTCACATCTTGTGTCTGCGCAGCTCTGCAATCTAAGAGGTTTCAGTTACTCAGCCGGACAACGAGCAGATTATGAACGGGGCCTACCTGACACCACACAGGTGAATTTGACATTACAGTTTTCTGAGACTGCCTTCGATTTCAGCGTGGTCTCAAATGACGGCTGTATGTCCTCAGTGAGCTGAGCCATGACGCTGCACAACGTGCTCCTGGAAAGAAGCACGGATGCATCAGAGAGTCTGGGACAGCCGTAAACACATCCTTTCATTCATCTCAGTGACCTCTCCATCCTGGTGCAGTACATTCAAGTAAGGTTCTTAAACAAGACGTTAATGGGGAGTTTTCTAGTAGTGATGACGTTGTGACACAGTAACGTGGGAGATGCTGAGCAAACCATCCATCCATCACTGAAACCAATGTAGACCACTCATGAAAACTCACTAAAAAAACACTACTGGACATTACAGTTAAAAAYGTGTGATTGTTTCAACCTTGGGATAAACCAACTGTACTATATGTGGTTAACAAGTTAGTTCAGAGGAGTGCTTTAAAACTGGGATTACCTCGACGGCCTGTATTGAGAATACCTTGAATAGCTATTTGGAGAGGAGGCAAACGGAGGAACGTCAGTAAATAAATAAGATCTACAACTAGAATCCACCTAACCATAATAACTTTGATCATCTTGTAAAAAACAAACACTTTGTCATCCTTATAGCTTGTGGATTGGAAACAGTTATTTCAATCAAATGTGTGATGAAATTGGCTAATTTCTGTTTTTACAGCAAAATAACTGGACTGATTAAACTTGCTCTGATGCTTTTCTTTTCAACTTTAATGTGGGGTAATCTTTTTAAAGAACAATATTTATGCAAAACAAACCCAGTCGGGAGTTACCTACCTGTTTTCAGGCCTAACGTTTGACAGATATGTATTGCGGCTCTCTGAGCGGCCATTGGAAGAGCCGCCCTCCTCCTCACTGAAGCTGCTCGTTCTCCCATTGCCAGAAAATGACCGAGTCATTGGCCTCCTGGAAGTCATTGTCCACTAAGGCGATTCACAAAAAATATATAAAATCCCAGATAGTTGTATCACCTGCTGTGTAAAAAAAAAAAAAAAAAAAAAAAGTTAGGGGTTTAAAGTTAGTAGTGCTGTCCAAGCAAAAACTCCCATGGATTCAAATTAAACACATCACAATGATAAGACCTATGAGAAATGACCAAAGAATGCATAAAATTATTATTTTTTTCACACACAGATCAGACACAAAGTTAGACTAAACGTCCTTTTTGACCAAGCAAAGCTCTTGGATTGGAGCAAGATATAAATAGTATCTGCTATCAGGTTGTGAAGGAGCTGTTAGTGGTTAGACACAAACATAAATCTGTTATTCGCTTGTACACAACAAGATCACAGCTGAAGGGTTTTCTTTGTCGCCGTAAAGCATGTTATATTGTCCAACTTACCATTAAGATGTTGTCAGTGGTGCTTTGGAGCCAGAGTCTGTGAGGAAAATCTGTAACCGCCTATCATAGACATACATGTGTTGCCAGCAGGGTCCTATTTATAGCAGGCCCACAAATAGGTGCAAGAGCACAGAAGATTTTCCGAAACTAGACATTAGACTAAAGAAGTTTAAATCAAACATTTGAATATTTTGAATGTGAACTCAATACAACTTCTCTCTCTTTTTTAATCAGTCGTAATGTAAAAATAAAAATCATCTAAGCTAGTTGGACCACACGTTGGACTAAGAAAACATGTCTGTGAATTATGGTTTATACGACAGTTACCTGTTTATGTCCTAAGCTTTTATAGGAGTTAAGAGACAACACCCCTCCCTTCATATTGCAACACATGGTCACATCACAGTCCCCCTCTCACTGCTCACATCTGACATAAATAATACCTTAAATCCATATATTTTCTTTAAATATGTTAGATAATGTGCATTACAATTTTTGGCCACGTTTTTACTTTTATTCAGTGGTTTCTTGAGAATATTTTGTGATGTAAAAGTTTTTTGATTACATCCCCAGAAGTTTTTACCAAATTTATTGAATCCTGATGCTCTGACAAAGAAAAAAGGTTATTATCAGAAATTTGCCAACTAGAAAAAAAGTCTCCTACACAAACACACAGTTTGTTTAATTCTGAGTGTTTGAAAAATCAGTTCTAGTTTATATCATTTAAATGAGAATAAATATCTGATATTTTTATGTAAAATATGAAACAATTAATTTGAATAAAGGTATTTCAGAATTCCAATATCAATCATTAATAGAAAATACCCTACAGCATAAATCAAATACAAGGTTTAGAGTAGACTGTTAAGATCATTAATCTATAAAGTGTTAAAATCTTTTTTTCACCACATTGACACATTTTRCTCTCATTTTAAATGAAGAGAAAGTGACTACTACGGGGCAAATTCAACATTTTAATCGGTTTCCTTGGAACTTATATGTCTCCTGTCGTTTTATTTTTGTAAATGCCCACTAATCAGTGGCTTATATCAAAGTTTGGCCAGTCGTGAAAGCACATAATAGTATCTTCCCATTCCTCAGCCTGAAGCTGGTCCCAGAGCTGGTCACTCTGACCTCAACTGGAGGAGGTTTGGTGGGTGGGTGGGTGGGGGGCGGGGGGGGCGCACTTTTTTTTTTTACCGTAAAAACCAAAATAATGCCTCCAATCTTATTTACGCCTACCCTGGATGATTTTCAACAAATGTAAGAAAAAAATGTAGTTGTCCTATTTGTTCAATCCGACGTATAATTGTATTTAGTTATTAAAAGAATATATTTGTTCTAAGTGAGTAAATGGTGAAATTTAGTTCATTTTAGTTTAGTTTAGTTTAGTTTAGTTTAGTTT